TATATATATAAGAAAATACCCTCAACCAGAAATCTTCGTATAAAATCAAATACATGTTATGTGTAAACAGTCTTATTGTATGCCATCCTTGGACTCCCTAAAGTAAGGAATGCATTTGTCTGAGTTTCAGTTAGCTCTTACCCCATCCCTTCAAAAATCCAGCTTAAAAAAGTTACCAGTTGAACAAATATTAAAGGACACCAAAAACATATAAGATACCACAGCCCTCAAAAAGGTTTTGCTCTAAATCTAGTTCTATGTAGGGGCGCCTGGGTGGCTCAGTTGTTAAGCGTCTGCCTTCGGCTCAGGTCATGATCCCAGAGTCCGGGGATCGAGCCCCGCATCGGGCTCCCTGCTCGGCAGGAAGCCTGCCTCTCCCTCTCCCACTCCCCCTGCTTGTGTTCCCTCTCTCGCTGTGTCTCGCTGTGTCAAATAAACAAAATCTTTAAAAAAAATAAAAATAAAAAAAATAAATCTATATTAATTTTTTAAAGCCTAAACAATGAATGACTGCTACTTACTTTAAGTGAAGTATTGTTCTTCTCCAACTTTTCCTTTCCATCTCGGTCATTAGAACTCTTTCTTGTAGAGCTTGAACGTTCTCTCTCTCTTCTTTCACTAATGTGGTCCCTTTCTTTTTCTCTCTTTTTATCCTTCTTATTTCTGCTATAAGAACAGTGATAATATGCCAGGTAACTTCTAAGAAATTAAAGACCTACTATGTTGTTGACAAAACAGTCTTATCTAACACTAAAGCAAATGTAATCTGGTTTGACCAAGTAACATAAACAGTCCTATAGCCCCACCTGCTCCACCCCATACCCCAATTCGTTTTTTTAAGATGCCCAAGTCTTTTTTTGCAGAGGCTACCATGCGTTCACAAAAAACACAATTTGGTATTTTCAATTTATTTGTTCAAGATTTATTTATCAGTCTCAACTGTAATGAGATTAAAATAAAACCAAATATATGGGTTTTTTACCCACCTTTTCAAAGCAAAAAATGAATAAGCAGAAAGAAATGAAAAGGATAAAGAATTAGAAGTGGTTCCCAGGGAGGACTGAATGACTGAGTACCAGCAAAACTTGAATTTCAAATAACCAGTGCTACTGCCCTTGTCATTCACCATTACAAACAAGTCACACCAATTCAAGATCAAAAGTTAAAAGAAGACTACATGAACAAGTTCCACTGATAAAAACAATATACCTTTAGAATTAGAGGGAAAAAACAATGCATTTCCGATCAGAAGCATAAGCTGCCTTTCTACTTTAAAAAGTTAGCCTTAACGTGGAATTCTAAGCTTTTTTCTCTTAATAATGAATAATTCAAAAATAAAGACAAAGACCAAGAAAACAAATAAAGAAACTGAGCAAAAAGACCTAAGAACATATGAAAATTTAGTATAACAAAGGTGGCATCTCAAATCATTGAGGAAAAGATGACGTTTTATAAATAAAAGTTATGGAGACAACTGGATTATTATTTGGTAAGTGATAAAACTTGATCAATATCTCATATCTCATTCCACAATATATAAATAAGTCCAAATGGATGAGAGACCTAAATTCTTAAAATAAAATACAAGTGCTAAAAGAAAACATGGGTAAATTTCTTTACTATCTGGGTTTTGAAAAGAAAGATTTTTTAACCTAACTAAAAATCAGGTACAATAAAAGACTGATAAATTTGCCTACATAAACCTTGCAAGGAAAAAAAAAAGACATTACCATATTCAAAAGAGAAATGACATATTTGCAACATATGTGTGCATCTTTCTACATAATTTTTAAATGTCAAGGGAACAATCACATCAAACTGAGTAAAATTCTTAGGAATAAATTTAACCGAGGTGGCAAAAAATTTGCTGAAAAAGATGAAGAAAAATAAACAGAAAGACATCCAGGCTTATGGATTGGAAGACTTAAATATTGTTAAAATGGCAATACTATCCAAAGCCACCTAGAGATTGAATGCAACCCCTATCAAAATCCCATTGTTGTTATTGCAGAAATACAAAACCCCATCCTAAAATGCATGTAGAATCTTGAAGGATATCAAATAGCCAAAACAATCTTAAAAAGAACAAAGTCTGAAGGTACAGCATTCCCAATTTCAAAACTTACAAAAACAGCACAGTATTACATAAACAAAGAAAATAAACCAGTGGAATAGACCAGAAGACCCAGAAATAAAACCCACATATATGATTCAAATGATTTCTGACAAGGATGCCATGACCCATTCAATGGGGAAAGGACAATCTTTTCAACAAACTGACACTGGGAAAACGATATTCACACACACAAGAATGAAGCTGGACCATTATCTTATACCATATTAAAAAGTTAACTCAAAATGGATCAAAAACCTAAATATATATGCTAAAGCTATAAAATTCTTAGAAGAAAACACAGGAGAAAATCTTCATGACATTGCATTTGGCAATGTTTTCTTTGATAGGACACCAAAAGCACAGGCATCAAAAGGAAAAAACAGATAAATCTGACTTCATCAAAATTAAGAACTTTTGTGCAGGGGCGCCCGGGTGGCTCAGTCGTTAGGCGTCTGCCTTCGGCTCAGGTCATGATCCCAGGGTCCTGGGATCGAGCCCCGCATCGGGCTCCCTGCTCGGCCGGAAGCCTGCTGCTTCTCCCTCTCCCACTCCCCCTGCTTGTGTTCCCTCTCTTGCTGTGTCTCTCTCTGTCAAATAAATAAATCTTTAAAAAAAAAAAAAAGAACTTTTGTGCATCAAAGAATACTATCAGGAAAATGAGAAGCCAACCCACAAAACAAGAGAGATATTTGCAAATCAGAAATGCTCAAAAAACAGCAGTGGAAGTGTGGGGGAGGATCAGCCTTACTAAACATTAAAAAAATACTACACAATTTGAATAATAAAAAGCATGGAGCATTGGTACACGAATCATCAGTCAAACCAACCCAGCAGCAGCGAAGGCCCAGAAATAGACCCAAACACAAAAAGAAATATATAGTACCTGAAAAGGCAATATAAGAAATCAATATTAGAAAAATTGAGTTTTTAATAAATGATACTGATCAAAAGAAAAGCATATAGAAAAATAAAATTGGACCCACATGCCATACTATAACATAAGGATGAACTCCTAATGGATCAAAGATTTTAATGCAATAAGTAAAACCATAGAAGTATAAGAAGAAACAAGGGGGGCATTCTATTATAATCTTGGAATAGAAAAGACCTTTCTAACTTTATATGACTCAAAATCCCGAAGTCATTAAAGAAAAAATTTGAGGGGCGCCTGGCTGGCTCAGTCAGTAGAGCATGTGACCCTCAATCTCAAGGTTCTGAGTTTGAGCTCCACACTGGATGCAGAGTTTAAAGAAAAAAAAAGAAAGAAAGAAAAAACTCGGGAAATTATTAAAAAAATCAAAATCCTTTGTAAAATCAAGTCTCATAATATTTTCTGAAAAGAAACAACAAAGTAAGAATGATACCTAGTATCAAATCACTAAAGAATAGTCTCCCTAACACTACGGCGCTTGGCTGGCTCAGAAGAGCATGTTACTCTTGATCTCAGGGTCGTTGAGATCGAGCACCATGTTGGGGGTAGAGTGTACTAAAAAACAAAAAACAAACCAAAACAAAAACAAAAAAACAAAACTTAAAAAAAAAAAAAAGAATAATCACTCTAATACAAAAAGAACCCCTGGAAATAAGAAAAACAAACAAAAAGCAGAGCCCACAAAAAAAAAAAAAATGGGCAAAGCATACCAACAACTCACAGGAAAGGAAATACAAATGGCCTTCAAATATATGAAGAGAAGGTCACCTTCACTCCTAAGAGAAATGCAACTAAAATTACTATATACTGATACCATTTCTCATCTATCCGACAGACAAAAATCCACAACTGTAGTAACATGATATGGTGTAGCTGACAGAAAACACTCTCGTACACACCGGCTGAAGTGCAAATTGCTGCCAATCTTTACGGAGGGTGATAAAGAAACAACTCTCAAAATTATAAACACACTCTGACACAACAATACCACTTTTGGAATTTTCCCACACAGCTGCACACAACAAAGTTAAGTCTAAAGCTATTCATTACAGTATGGTCTAATTTGTAATAGGAAAATTAAGCAAACCCATTCTACTGCAGGCTGGTTAAATAAACCAAGGTAGTACCACACAATGGAAGTCCATGCAGTTCTAAAAAAAAGAATGAAGCGGCACTTGCTGATGAAAGCTCTCCGGGCAGTTGGGTGACAAAAAGCAAGGGCACAACAGTGTGTTTTTTGTGCTAACTTCTGCATAAGAAATATGAAAAGGAACTATAAATTTCGATCTCGTATATCTCTACGCAAAACTGGAAGGATATACAATACAAAAAAGTTAAGTCACTACTTATGGACACACAGTAGATGAGTGCATGGATGAAGTGAAGACCTACAGAGGTATAACTTTTTATACTGTTGGGATTTCTGAAACATGCAAATGTATAACATATTACTCATTCAAAATATAAAGTTTAAAAATAGATCCAAAAGAAGATTTTTCTTCCCCCGCTCCATCTTTGGATTTAGCACACACTTTCAACCTACCTCCTAGGGGATGGAGATCTAGAAGATTTCCTTTTTATAGTTTTTGATGTTCTTGGTGATCTGGAAGTACTCCTGCTCCTCCTCCTACGCCTTTCCCTGAAAGTCAAAAATATATCATTTAAAAATATAGCAATTTTAATAAAGGGCAATTCAAATACACAAAAGCAAAAAGGTCCTTAATGCTCTCAAGTTAACAGTCTTTTAAAGACCAGTTTAAACTCATGTCCTTTAAGAACATGTTCTATTTTCTAATATTAGTACAGGTCAAATTTTGAACCATAAATTTTACAGACATGAAAATATGTTCTAAGATTTCGTAACAGAAAAGGAAGAAGACTCCTTTTCATCTGGTTTATCTGAACAAGAACTTCCTGAATAGAAAAAATATTAATGGATATTTCAGATTCTCTGTTTTGCTTATCCAGATCCTTTGTCCTGCATCTAGCTCCTTGCTGCCCCACTGTGGATTATTTTATAAAAGATTAAGGTGGCTTGCAAAATGTGAACTTTACAAATCAAAGCATTTAGAATGTCTCTAAAAAAGCATTTACATTAATCTATTTCACAGAATTGTTTTACCCTTCAACTTCCTACCATTTTATTGTTCTATTCATTTAAAACCGAGTGCAGAAGTTGCTTAGAAGTAAAATAGTTAAAACCTGGGCCTTAAATATGAAATAAAAAAATAACCACTGAATTGATTAACAGTGTTTAGTATTATTAAAAACGATTTTCTTTAACATGTTAGCAAATGATGCATACTCAAAATTACTTCATTTAGAAGCATGGTCAACTGAGAAACAATGAATTTCAAGATGTCCATAACTCAGGGGATGACGCACGCAGGAGGACATACTTACTATGATTAATGTGTCCAACGATCTCACAAGGAGCTCTAATAATTAGTGGCCATACAGGTGAAAGAACCAAATCCCCTAGAATCCAAGTCCTCCATACAACCTCAGTAAGAATATTCTAGGCTAAAGAAGCATTTTGCCTACATTTTTCATTATAAAATAAATATTAGATAATGCTCAGATGTGGTAGATACAGTATATGTTAAGACCAAATTAGCCAAGAACTTTGAAAACACCGTCAATTCCAATTTTACCTAAAGCTCTCTCCTCCATTACCCAATTTTATTTCCAAGACACCCCAAAATTATACTTCCTGACTAATGTGAAAATAGGTGAAGATATTCCATTCAGTCAATGCCATTCTGTAACAGCCCAGCATAAATACCATAGATACTTATATTTCATAGCATGAGAATATCAATGTGTTAGACTTTGTTTACACAAAATGGTTCCACCCTGACCAGTTTTGACTGTTTAACTTTGTTCAGGAAGCACTATGTACAGTTGGACATCTAATAACTAACAGCTGATGATAATGAGCGCTAAGGCTGGATAGACAGCAATCTAGAACGTCAATTAGTTGAGAAAGAGGCAGTCAGGGGTAGTATAGGAAACTGTAGTTGGTTAGACTTAGATTTAAATTTTAGTTCCATACCTTACCAGCTGCATGACTAAGGTCATATTACTTAATCTGAGTTTCAGTTTTTCCAACTGGAAAATAGAGTTAATAACTCAAGCTTGATAGTACTGTTATGAGGATTTAGGATGATACCTATAAAGTACCCCGCAAAGTCTCTTGCATATACTTGGTGTCAATATTTTCTTTCTCCTCACTAGCTTTATTGCTAGTTACTGTAAACATTGAAAGTTGCTTAAATATCAAAATTTTCTTTAAAAATGTAGATTGGGGGCGCCTGGGTGGCTCAGTCAGTTAAGCGTCTGCCTTCGGCTCAGATCATGATCCCAGGGTCCTGGGACTGAGTCCCACATCAGGTTCCCTGCTCAGCGGGGAGTCTGCTTCTCTCTCTCTCTCCCTCTACCCTTCCACCCCTGCTTGTTCTCTCTCTCTAATAAATAAAATCTTAAAAAAATAAAAAAAATAAAATAAAAACGTAGATAAGAGGATGACGTTGAAAATAAAAATACCGGGTGCCTGGGTGGCTCAGTTGGTTAGGCGGCTGCCTTCGGCTCAGGTCATGATCCCGGAGTTCCGGGATCGAGTCCCGCATCGGGCTCCCTGCTCGGCGGGGAGCCTGCTTCTGCCTCTGACCCTCCCCCCCTCATGTTCTATCTCGTTCTCTCTCTCAAATAAATGAATAAAATCTTTAAAAAAAAAAGAAAAAGAAAAAGAAAATAAAAATACCAAGTACTCTATTTTTCTGAGCCACTAAAATGTTTCCTGTTAACTAAACAAATCAGAGCACATGAAAAACAGAAAAATGCTAAAAGATGACAAATTTTAACTCTTCACCAAGCTCTTATGAAAGCACAAAACGTGCCAAACTTCAGAACCTTTAGAAACTAACATTAGTCAGCATTTCTTCCCCAGGCCCCAGAGGTTAGTTAAGAATATATTTAGGGGGGCGCCTGGGTGGCTCAGTCGTTAAGCGTCTGCCTTCGGCCCAGGTCATGATCCCAGGGTCCTGGGATCGAGCCCCGCATCGGGCTCCCTGCTCCGCGGGAAGTCTGCTTCTCCCTCTCCCGCTCCCCCCGCTTGTGTTCCCTCTCTCGCTGTGTCTCTCTCTGTCAAATAAATAAAATCTTAAAAAAAAAAGAATATATTTAGGAATGAATGTAAACATCTGAACTTCCTTAAATGTCAAGCAACTTAAAATGGCCACCGAAAAAATTAAATATTTCAAAGTCATCCCAAAAGTAAATTCAACTGAATTTAAAAGGAATCAAAACATTGTTTTGTGTTATGAAGGGCAATAACTAAATGATCACATAAACACAAAGGAAGGTGTGACAGACAATAAAATCACTGTGCAGTAAAGGAACAGGCTTGCAAGGCTTGACTGATGTCCACAGCAATGAGACTAAGTTAATTCTTCAGTTTCTGGTTCAGTGTGCTGAAATATGGTAGTGATCTGTTTATTTTAAGCCCCAGTTAAACATACACTGTTGTTTTCAACTTTACGCTTCTGCAGCAGTTTCTTAAAGCAGGTACCAAGTACTGATTAGAGAATTCTCAAACTTAATCTCTTAAAAAGAAGAGAAAGAGCTACCGTATTTCTAATTTGGAAGTGCAGAGCAGCAGATGGAAAACTTCCCGAAAGCTATGGTATTATCATACTTTGAAACCATGATAATAATAGTCTTCTCACAGACTTACTGTGAGGAATAAGATTAGTCATAAAAAACCGTGCAGAGACAAAATCTGGCATTTGGTAAAACATTCAATAAACACCTGCAATTATCTTGTAATACGTAATGAAAGACTGGTATTAAGAACAAGCTATTGAAACACAAAGTTAGAAAAACAGGAAATACACATTCATTTCCAATTACCTTCTGTGAAAATCACGATTAAAATAGCCATAAAACTTGCTAAAATAGGTGTTTTATTCAGCATTTTTAAGATCTAGTTTAAAACAAGTTTAGGAACCTCCATTCACTCAGTTATTGTATCATGTGGAGTAATGGATATAGGTTTAAATAATCTTGAATCAAGGGAGGTCCTATGTCCTCTTTTTGCAGCTGTTACTATGGCAACCTGCTGCCACCTGGTGGCAGTGTACTTATTAAGAGGGAACAGTCCTAAGGAAAAAAAGAAAGACCTTAACACTGACAGATCAGGGGCGCCTGGGTGGCTCAGTCGTTAAGCATCTACCTTCAGCTCAGGTCATGATCCCAGGGTCCTGGGATCGAGCCCCACATTGGGCTCCCCGCTCAGCGGGAAGCCTGCCTCTCCTTTTCCCACTCCCCCTGCTTGTGTTCCCTCTCTCTCCGTCAAATAAATAAATAAAATCTTAAAAACAAAAAACAAAACAAAAAATTGACAGATCAAGGAAAACCAAAATTTAAATGTCATGCACTCAACAAACAGAGCGGTAAAAATCACTTAAATGAAATTTTAATAATCATTCGGCATATTAAAATTTACCAAGAAGTCAATTCTTCCATTTAAAAAAAAAAAAAGGAAGAAAAAAAGAAAAACTCGTCCTTGCCATCTCATCCTCCAAAAAAATAAGCAGCAGTGGCCACTGTCGGCACCAGGAATTACGAAGGATAGTTAAAACTTTTCAAATAACTTTGCCCAATTATCATCTCTTCCACCTCATAGGTTCAATACTGTGGCAAGCGCTCTACTAGAGAAAATGCTTATTCTGCAATTAGAGGGCAATGATCTGGTTATTATTGTACTGTTTCCACTTACGTAGCATAATCTCTTCCCCCTTGGTTAAAACTTACATTTTCATTTGTCATCAGTAAAAAATTAAGCATTATCAAACCTGCTGGAACTACGAGATCTTCTTGATGCATTGTAACTTCTGGGTGGTGTTCTGGATTTTTTATCCTTCTTTCTTTTCTCATCTATCTCTTTCGATCTGTCCTTGTCTCGTTCCTTTTCTTTGTCCTGTTCCTTTTCCTTGTCTCGCTCCTTGTCATGTTCTTTCTCCCGCTCTCTCTCTCTGTCCTTTTCCTTGTCTTTATCCCGGTCCTTTTCCCGTTCTTTATCCCGGTCTTTCTCTTTGTTTTTACCCCGTTCCTTTTCTTTTTCACGTTCCTTCTCCCTGTCTCTCTCTTTTTCCCTTTCCTTTTCTCTATCTTTTTCTTTCACTCTTTCCTTTTCCTTGATCTTTTCTCGGGTGTCTTTTCTCTTGTCCCTTTAAAAACAAAAATAAATAAATAAATTCACAACTAAAATTATTCTACTCCCCAAAAAGGACCTCCCTCTCGTTCCTCAACAATTATCAACCCAAAACAATTTATACTAGTTTATAATACATTACATGATAATCTCTATATAACCCAGGTGTACATGAAGCTGTTAGATGAAAGAGTTACCGGTTTAATTATGTATTTTAGAAACCTCATGAGTCATTCTAATCATCATCAGATTCAAATCAATGGCAATCAATATTAATCACTACTAAAAGAAATCAGAAAAAAGTTTACTGTCTCTCATTAAAAACCTAAACCACAATCATTTTTTAATTAAGTGAAGCCACGAGAAAAATTACCACTAATTTCCCCAAAACTCACCGTGAACGCGAACGACTCCTTGACTTCCGTCTCTCCCTTGATTTAGAGCGTTTTTTATGTGGGCTCTTAGATCTACGTCTGTCTTTTTGTCTTGAACGTGATCTATTATGGGATCTACTCCTAAAGAAAAACAAGTTGTTAGAATGTCAAAACTTACTCTTAAAATTTCAATTTTTAAAAATTTAAGATGTCTTTCAAGTGAGAAAAATTTAAAACCTATCCCAACAGTACTTATCAATATTTTAAAATTCCCTATTACATAACACCTCAGATTATTTCCAGTAATTTATTTATTGGCAACTTTACCCAACAGTTCATTTTCAGAACACAAAGTGAAAGAAATTATTTTCTATGTCAGACTGAAGCTGTTATTTTCAAGTGTGGCTTTCTTGTCTAATTATTATATGCCTGTTACTATAACTTCTCCCACAGAACAAATTTGTATACCATAAACTAAATTTAACTCTTGACTTGCATGTAATTGCTTGTAGTTATACTTTCACAAGAAATAGTGGTTTTTCTGGCTCAAGAGTTTCTCTAACTGGCTGTGTGATGTGTGTCATAACATATATTAAGAATGTATAAGGAAGCACAGTACTAATTACGCTGCTAGCGTGACAGGAAAATAAACATTACTCATGAGTTGAAGATATAGATAATTAAATGTTGGATTTGCAAGACCTCTTGATTTTATAACTATATAAACATAGCTATTAAAAGAAACCTTTTTTTAAAGATTTTATATATTTGAGTGTGAGCATGATCAGGGGGAGGGAGGGGCAGAGGAGAGGGAGAAGGAGACTCCCTGCTGAGCAGGGAGCTCAACACGGGGCTTGATCCCAGGACCCTGGGATCATGACCTGAGCCTAAGGCAGACGCTTAACCAACTGAGCCACCCAGGTGCCCCCTAAAAGAAACCTTTATTACTGGAATTCTTGCGGGAAAAATAACGTTTACTCCAATTCTGAAATTCTCTAGGCTCCTTACTCCCACTGAAATAATGCTTATATAATGTGATTTTTATCCTAATAACTATTTATTAAAATATAACAAAACTGAATGCACACAAATAACAAAGTAATGAGACTCACCAGCTCTGGAGTGAAACAATCTGGCTCTGACACTCAGCTCTGCCACATACTAGCTGTGAGAACTCTGGCTACTCACTTACCCTCTCTAAGCCTAGTTTCTTCATCTACAAAGTTGGAGAATCATACCTACATCACCTAGGGCTGTAATGAGGACTAAATCAGATGACGCATGAAAAACTGCCTAGCAGTCTCGGGCACAGAGTAAATGTTCAAAATTCTTAACTCTCAAGATCATCAGCATTAATAATTAACATAAATGAAAACTTTAAGTTACAGCTTTATTTATTCCAAGGAGATCAAATGAACTTCCACAAGTATGCTTTATATAATTAAAATTCATCTTGATAGTCATGTTTTCATGAGTTAAGTTAAAACAAAGATCTATAAAAGAAATACATACAGTTAAATTCTTGTGGTATGCTAAGAAGCCAGAAAAATCTTGAGACAATTTTCAATTAATAATGAAATCCTGCTTTTTTAAACACATTTTTCAGTTAGTTAAAATGTTTCCCAACAGCTAATTTTCAACTGAACCACTCATCTATTTTATGGTTTTAAAAATTATACATTTATTTTCATACCATATTTTCAATACAAGAAGATAAGCCACAGTTTGTTGAAATCTTTATTACTAATAACCCAAGAGACAATGGGGCAAGTGGTAGGTAAAAGCAAAACTGCAAAACTTAAGATATTTTTAATCCATTTACAGACATCCACATAAGGGGAATGATCTATAAGGCCTTTGCTTCTATGTACTTAATAGAAAGTCTTTACATTTCTGTTCTACTTAACCTTGCTAAAAACATACATAGTAATTTTGTTTTCCTCAAACACTGCTTTCCAACCTTAATTAAGCAAAGAAACACCTTTTAAAAAAAACAAGAATAGCCTTAGGAAGTAAGAATTAATTTTAAAAACACTGATCACTTGGCTTCCCACCTTACCCCTAACAGGTCCTCAGAGTTTGGAAGTCCCAAGAGTAATTACTGTATTTTAATTCTGACATTAAATATTTTCATGTCCCTATTTCACCCACTAGTCACCTCCAAACAAGTGTTCTGATTAGGAATGCTAAATGTTTCAAGTCAAGAGCAAATCTAATCCAACCAAAGAGAAAGACTTGAGTTATCATTAGGAGATCTCATTTCAGCATAATGTGCAAAATCACATTTATAAATTAAACTGTAAATACAGGGCAACTTACCATCATGTCTCATCAAAGTTCAACTCTAAGTCCGCTGTTTCCCATTAAAATACTATAAAATGTCTTATAGTTCCCATGCTGGTCTGTCAAGGTTACTTAACTTTAAAATATAACAATTACAGTACTACCCACCTTTTCTAACACTGTCCTTTGAAAAAAACACATATAAAATTTTGAACAAAGTCAAAATACATCTCCCCAGTCCTAGCCAAGATCACAGTGACAAGAAACCCCTTCCTGCCTCCTCCTATACAAAGGGAAGGAAAAAAGAAAGGATAGGGGCTAGAGGGAGGCTCCAGAAGCATCTGAGAATGCTGAGAAAGCAGAAGAAGGTGGGCCTTCAAGAGCAAAGGCTCCTGCAACTCGCACTCCTGCTAATAAGTCTAGTGGGGCAGAGCCACAGCTAAGGGTATCAAATCCCACTCGCAGGGGAAGCCAAGAAATGCCTGCCATCCCCCTCCCCTACCAGGGAAGATCCTTCCATGCCAAGATTCTTAAGTCAAATGTTTTCAGTTAAGGGACTTTTTTTTTTTTCCCTTAAAAAGAACCTTTCTTCTTTTGTATTTCTTTATGAACTCACTAGAGGCTATATGTGTTTCTGTACATGTATAAAAATAGTATAAATTTACACACTACATAAATATATGAGAGTGTTACAAGTATGTGTATGTATGCCAAAAGCAAGTAATTTCTAATGCTACATAGTTAGACAAACCTACAGGAAAACATTCTCATGGGGGCGCCTGGGTGGCTCAGTCGTTAAGCGTCTGCCTTCGGCTCAGGTCATGATCCCGGGGTCCTGGGATTGAGCCTCACATCCGGCTCCCTGCTAGGCGGGAAGCCTGCTTCTCCCTCTCCCACTCCCCCTGCTTGTGTTCCCTCTCTCGCTGTGTCTCTGTCAGATAAATAAATAAAATCTTAAAAAAAAAAAAAAATTCTCATGAATTAAGAACAGTAATTAACAAATTTCATTTTAGACTGAAAAACCCTTCCCCTACTAACCCTTGGAAGGGGAAAATATCCAAATATACCTAAAATGATAAAAGCAAGCACCTTAAGCAGAGAGTTAAATAAATCTGCTCCAACAGATAAATCTTCACAGAGATTATCAAGGAAACGATGTTAATCAAGTTTTGCTTTTTTCCAGCCTTATAAAACCACTAAGGTAGTGTATTTGGAGCACGGCTCTTGTAATCAACATAAAATGAAATTCGGGTCATTGGTCTTTTTCCTCCTCAGAAAAGAAGTAATTACTCTTGAGCTCAATTTTATATTTCCTTTATCTCCTTCACCTTCACCACATCCTGTCAACCTGTAGAAATGTCCCCAATCTAGTGCCACTGCTTCTCTACCACTTTCCTTCTCCAGCGCTGGCTTCTGTTGCTCTAACGTATGCCTTGTACATGCAACAACTTCCTTCACTTGGACCTGAACTTGCCTTACTGGAAGCCCTTGAAGGGAGACAGTAAAACCGTATCGCAAAAGAGACCTTACAAACAAAGAATAATGGAGAAGTATACACCTTGATATCACAGAAAAACAGACTAAACTGAGCTTGCTGATGAGGTTCAACATACAGCATACCGGTTCCCTTTTCCCCTCCTCTCAAACCTTCCTCCTTCTCTAATACCACCACACACGCCGTGCACACACACGCACATACACTTTTCTCCACATCTTCTCTTTAGACCTACGTGTGTACATATTAACACGCAATTGGGATCCACCACATACATTCTCACATTTCAGTAACACCTCCCTCCATATCTTAAAGAAGACAATAAAATTTTTCACTTTAAACACGATTCTTAGGGCACTTCCAAACCAAAATGCTGTTGCAAGTTCACGTTTTGAGGTCCACTTCAGACTAAGTACAACACAACAGATTTTTTATTATTATTTTTTAGATTATATTTGACACAGAGAGAGCATAAGCAGGCGGAGTGGGAGAGGGAAAAGCAGGCTCCCCCCTGAGCAGGGAGCCCAATGTGGGGATTGATCCCAGGACCCTGAGCCAAAGGCAGACATACTTAACCGACTGAGCCACCCAGGCGCCCCACATTTTTTTTAAAAAAGAAAATTAAAATGACAGAACTATGTTCCAAAGTAAGATAAACAGAACAGAAACAGAGCTTAAGCATAATACAGTAGCTGGAACTAAAGCTGCAAAGTTACTGCTGTGTTTCAGGTCCCAAAGTGGGTGCAGGAGGCTCTTATCATCAAAAATGCCAAAGACTGGGGCGCCTGGGTGGCTCAGTCGTTAAGCATCTGCCTTGGGCTCAGGTCAGGATCCCAGGGTCCTGGGACTGAGCCCCGCATCAGGCTCCCTGCTCAGCGGGAAGCCTGCTTCTCCCTCTCCCACTTCCCCTGCTTGTGTTCCTTCTCTCGCTTTGTATCTCTCTGTCAAATAAATAAATAAAATCTTTAAAAAAAAAAA